TGGATGGAGTGTGCACTGAACCCCAGACCCTGCTGCACACCCTCCTGGCTCAGGGTGATGTCCCCATCTCTGGAAGCCATGAGCAGCCTCTGGCAGGCTCCAGACCTGTCCCTCAGTGTCCTCTCTTGATGCCCGCTGTCTTTGGGGATTCTCTATGCCTGGAACCAGCATCATGGGGTTATTGCTTTGAACTCAAGATCTTCTGCTTTCCACTAATTGTGCTTCTTATCTTGACCAGACTGCTTATCTTTATGAACCACTGACACACCAAACTCTCCATATTGTCCTGTGCTGCTTTTAATCTATACATAAACCTGCTCTTCTAATAAAACCCAGACTCCAGGGGATGATGATAATCGGTGGAATACACAGTCCCTGTTAGCAAACAAAGGGAAGCATCACTATCACCTTGGGAAACTCGCAGAGATAATGATCCTCCCTTGTCTGTTCRTGGGGTCTGTCAGGTTATTACTTTTAAATCTCTTTTGTGGCACGGCTGATGCTATCACTGCAGCTGAGTTAGTTACCCAAACTCTGCATTACTGTGGGTTATTGAAGCATTATGGGCCAGWTGAGAGCGTTTCCCTCAGCCCCAAGGCAGCGCGGGGTTTGTGATGACTCCCCAAGTTTGGGGTGGTTGTTGTGTGTGATCTCTGCACACTGCCATGGGGAGTGARGCTTTCAGGGGAAATTGGACTGTAATTTAGCTTTTACTGTAAAAGGATTGGGAGAGCTCTCCCAGGAGATGCTGTGCTTCTGGAGTGTCACAGAATTCCAGAATGGTGGGGTTGAAAGGRACATTAAAGTTCACCTCATTCCAACCCCTGCCATGGACAGGGACACCTTCCACTGTCCCAGGCTGCTCCAAGCCCCAATGTCCAGCCTGGCCTTGCCAGGGATGGGRCAGCCACAGCTTCTCTGGGCACCCTGTGCCAAGGCCTTCCAACCCTCACAGGAAAAAATTTATTCCTAACATCCAATCTAAATAGATTTTTGAAGTGATTCTCCCTTGTCCTGTCACTCCAGGCCTTTGAAAACAGTCTCTCTCCTATAGGGTCCCTTTAGGTAGTGGAAGGTCACAATAAGGTCACCCCGAAGCTTCTCTTCTCCGGGTTGAACAATCTCAATTCTCTCAGCCTTTTGTCATATGAGAGGTACTCCATGCCTCTGGTCATCTTGGTGGCCTCCTCTGGCCTGGGTCCAGCAGCTCCATGTCCTCCCTGTGCCAGAGGCCCCCTCAGGGCCCTGCTGGTTGCACTGTGACAGCAGCTGCAGAGCTGACCAGCTGCCAGCACAGGGAAGGAGCCCCCCTCAGTCATCCCCTTCACAGGCACTGCAGGGACTGAACTCAGGGATGTCCCTGCTTATCCACCAACCCACCTGTCAGGATGGGACAACTCACACCCAAGACAAGGACCAAAACTGTGAARCAAAAGCCATTTCTTCCTGAACCAGGATGCAATCTTTGAAATTCCTGCCCCAATGTGAGATGCAGGGCACTTTAGGGCCTTAACAGTAAASAGCATTCATGCTGTTGTTGTGAGCCTCTGATCAGGTTCAGGGGTTTTATGCACTTCCAGTGAAATCTTCATAAGATTGATGAGGTATTGCAAGSAGTTCTGTCACTCTGCAGAAGTGAAGTCACAGCTCTCTGCACTTGACTGTGCACATAACCCCAAGTCAGCAAGATTAGACAGAATTGCCAGAGTTCATTTGATGAAAAATACCACACACCTTCTTAGTTACTTCACCCACTAAAGAAACATTGGCTGGAACCCCCATGCCAGCTGGTCAGAGCCCTAAGAAAACTCCTGTGTTCCCAAAAGTATTTCAAATATGTATTAAGCACAAAAAAGGTATTTTCATGCTTCCTCATTCACCTGACCAGAAAAGTACTGCCAGGGGAAGGATGGATGAAGCAGTGGAGCAAGAATGTGCAGAGAGCACTTGCCTTTGGAAACTCCAGCATTTATGTGGGAGCAATTTAAAAATCACAGAATCACAGTATCACAGTCTCTTGAGTGGAAAAGGACCCACAGAGATCATCCAGTCCAGCCCCTGTCCCTGCCCAGACCTCCCAACAATCCCCCCCTGTCCATCCCTGGCAGCGCTGCCCAAACGCTCCTGGAGCTCTGGCAGCCTCGGGGCCGGGACCATTCCCTGGGGAGCCTGGGCAGTGCCAGCACCCTCTGGGGACAGAAGAACCTTTCCCTGCTCTCCAACCTGACCCTGCCCTGGCTCAGCTCCAGCCATTCCCTGGGTTCTGTCCCTGTCCCAGGGAGCAGAGCTCAGAGCTGCCCTTGGGAGGAGTTGCAGCCCCTGGTGTGGTCTGACCTCCATCTCCTCTGCCCCTCTGAACAAACCCAGTGCCCTCGGCTACTCCTCATATGGCCCCTCAAAGCCCTGCCCCATCTTCTTTGTGTCCTTCTTCCTGACACTGTCTAGGAGCTTCAGATCTTTCTTATGTTGTGGTGCCCAAGACTGCCCTAAAGACTCGAAGTGAGGCTGCCCCAGCCAAGAGTTTGAGATCTAAACCAAAGTTTCCCTTCTCAGGTGGGGAACAAAGGCAAGTGCCATCAGTGAGCTCTAGGCTGCAGCACTGTAACGTGCGAAATGTGTGTGAAAAAAAAGAGTTTGCTACTCAAAGGAACAAACCTTTTATGTCACACAAAAGTGAGGAAAACCAGGGAAAACTACCCTGCTCATTTGAGCTGTTGCAAAGGATGATAGTCAGGAGAATACAAAGGGAATTACAGGTCTGAACAAAGACTGACAGAACAGCTGTAAACACCATGGCAGGATCTGGGGTTTAGAGAGGTCCTGACTGAAAGGATCACTGGAAGAGAAAGAGAAGAACATTGGCACTAAGAATAAAGAGAGAAAGTGTTTGGAAAGCAAAGCACTGGGAAAGATAAGGTTTTTCTTTGGAACTCAGGGATACTGATGGTCAGGGTTGTTTACATTGGAATACTCTGGTTATAATAACATCAAGTGGCTCGTTTTRAAGTGAACAAAAGCCCCATGAGAGCTCACACTGCGTTTGGAGAGCTCAAAAATAAACAGAGCTGCAGCCTGTTTGTACACAGGTCCCGAATGGGCTCCTGTTGGAGAAGAGTAGCAGGGAAAGGGGGAGCCTGGGGAATCACAGGGTCATTGAGGTCCAGAGGGGTGAGGTCAGGCCAGGCCAGCCCTGTCCAGCCACTGAGGAGAGGGACAGCACCTCTGAGTGGGGACCTGCCCCAGCTTGGCCCTGCCTGGCTTTGAGAGCTGTAATGATGGGAAGGATGGCTGGAGTTCCCCTGAAAACAAGGCCACAGAAAYATTTAGCTTGCCAACATCCCAGTGCCTGCTGCTGCCCCGTGCCCCAGGCTGGGCTCTCATACTCACACTGGCAGGCCCATCTCCTGTGCTTTTGCTGCCAGGAATTTYCCCTTCCTCGGGTGAATCTGGAAAGAGTAAAACAGAATTTTCACTCAATAAAGAGGGATGGGAAACAAGATCCACGTATTGCCAGRTTAAGAGTTTCTCCMCAAGTCAAGGGAACATTCTTCCCCTTTTCAATTCTACATCYACTGCTACAATTTACTCCAAAAAGCTTTTCTAGACTGTCTGGTTTCTAGAAGCTGCTGCTTCTTGCTCCCCTCYTTAGCCAAGCAAGCACAAAACCCTGCCCTCTTCTGAGGRTTAAGCAAGAATGGAACCTGYATACTCATARCCACTGCKCTGTGCTCAAAAAMACCTCCAGTTTTACACATTCCTACKCATGCTGCRGCAACACTGACATTTGAAAAGCAGAAACACATTACAGCTTCAAAGCCCTACTTGTAAACACTGTCTCTAATTAAATCTCCTTAGCGAGATGAAACRTCCTACTGACATTCGGAAGCATTTCCTTACAGAGAAGGAGATCAAACACTGGGACGGGCTTCCTCAAGAAGAGGTCGAGGAGACCTGCACTTTAACTTGCTGCTTCTGTTCCGCCGGTGCAGGGATGGGCTCAGCTGTGTCCCCACCATGGCACAGCCGGGGGAGGGACACTGAGGGACACGGTGGGGCTGAGGGCTCGGCAGGGAGAGCCAGAGTTGCGAGCGAGGAGATTGTGAGGGGACAAAACCCCGAGGGTTCCGTTTGATGTCCCTCCTCGGAGGCACCAGCTCGGGCTGTGTCCGTGTCACTGAGCTGGGAATAAATGGCTTTATGGGACGAGACATCCGAGACTGCCGTGGGAAACCTGGGCTGGGGCCGGCGAGGCAAGCGGGTCTGACGGTGGGAATGGGATGTGCGGAGTCCAGCGGGGCACTCGGGTCAGCGCCAGCGGGGCTCCGGTCCCAGCAGCACCAGGGTGGAACCACGGCAATGGCCGGGCCAAACACGGGAGTGGCTAGGAAGAGAACCCCGGGAATGACCGGGAATCCCGGGAGGGGCCGGGAAGAGAATCCCGGGGATGGCTGGGCCGGGAAGAGAATCTCGGGAATGGCCGGGCCGGACAGAACCCCGGGAAGGACCGGGCTGGGCAGAACCTCGGGAATGACCGGGCATCCCGGGAGTGGCCACGAAGAGAATACCGGGAATGGCCGGGCTGGGCAGAACCGTGGGAATGGCCGGGCCAGGAATGGCCGGGAAGAGAATCCCGGGAATGGTCGGGCCGGGCAGAATCCCTGAAATGACCGGCCATCCTGGGAGTGGCCGGGAAGAGAATCCCGGGAATGGCCCGGTCAGGAATAGCCGGGCCGGACAGAACCGTGGGAATGACCGGACAGAACCGTGGGAATGACCAGGCATCCCGGGAATTGTCGGGCCGGGAATGGCCGGGCCCGGAGCCCACAAGCAGCGCGCGGCAGTCCCGGTCACGTGACAGCGGTCTAGGCGCTCAGGGGGCGGGGCGGCTGCTGAGGATCCGCGCTCCCCATTGGTCTGCCCGTGTCACGTGGCGAGGGGGCGGGCCGACCGGCGGCATTCCTCATTTCTCATTGGCTGCCCTGGTCACGCGGGGCGGGGGCGCTGGCGCCGATTGGCCGCGGGGCGGGTGCACGCGGATGTGGGCGCTGGCGCGGGCGCTGCCGCCGGGCCGCGGGCTCGTGTGGCGGCGGGCGGGGTCCGGCACCGGCACCCGCATCGCGATCGGGATCGGGATCGGGGTCCTGGTCAGGGCCGGCTCCTCCCGCGGCTGGGCCATGTCCGAGGGCACCTCGGCGGCGCGGCCGGCGCGGCGGCCCAAGGACGTGCCCCGGCACGTGTGGGCCCGCGAGCGGCGGAAGAACGCGGGCACGGGCCTGGCGGGACCCAACACGGTGTACGTGCAGGTTGTGGGGGCCGGGAGCCGCGACGCGGGGGCTGCCGTGTACGTGTTCTCCGAGTTCAACCGGTGAGTGCAGGGGTCGGGACCGGGACCGGGTGTCTGCTCCCGGGCCCTCCCTGACGCCCCTTTCTGCACAGGTATCTGTTCAACTGCGGCGAGGGCACCCAGCGCGCCATGCAGGAGCACAAGTAAGTGCGACAGCGCGGGGGGGACAGCCCGGGCTGGATCGGCCCCTGCTCACCCCCGTCTGCTCCGCAGGCTGAAGATTTCCCACCTGGACAGCATCTTCCTCAGCCGCGTGTCCTGGGCCAACGTCGGGGGGCTGCCSGGTGAGTGGGGGGAGCCAGCAGCTCTCGGGTCTTTGCGAGGTTCCCGATGCGGCGTGTGTCAGGCAGCGGTGGGGACAGCGACATTGCTGTCAGAGGGCTGGGCTGTACGTGTGGCTCTGTGGTGCTTCCAGCCGCTGTGTGGGCTCTGCGGCAGTGCAGACACGTGGTGGGACAGGCCCTGCCTGCCCAGCATGTCTGGCTTTAGCTTTCCAAAATCTCCTGGAGCAGAAGGTGTTACCAGTGTTGYCAGCAGGGAACTGTTCATTAATGAGGCTGGTCTGAGTCCACCACTGTCCTCAAAGCAGGATGGGGTTAGAACAGGTAGCTTCAGATTTTGTCCATTAAAATTCTGGAAATCTCCAAGAAAAGGAGGAGATTACCAATCTGTTCAAGTGCCTTGCTCCAGATTAATACTATGAAGATGTGTAGATATTTTCCTTATCTGCAGCGGCAAGTGACTTGTTAAAACTGCCACAAAGCTGAGGCAAAACTGAATTTAGGTCCACGTTCAGTTCTGGCCTTCATGGACTGGCCAAGCAGAGAGGAATCTTTATTTTTGGATCTACCAGCAGTTACTGGGGCTGTGATAAAGCTGTTTCCCTGCTTGCTTTTAGGCATGATTCTCACACTGAAGGCTATAGGGCTTCAGAGATGTATGTTCCTGGGGCCACCAAAGCTGGTAAGTATGGGAAGTTGCAGAAGGGAGAGAAAACCCTTGAAATGATAAAGCTCACCCTGGAATTGGGAGCGCTGGTGGCAAAGTGAATCTTTATTCTAGTTTGAAATACTCATCCAAGTTAGTGTCAGCCCTAAGGGCTGCTTCAAGATCCAAATCTCTTCAGTTACAGGACAGCAGAATTCTTCTGCTCTTGTCTTGTAATGTCACATCCTGATAAATCAGCTCTTGGGAGAAGGGAGGATCTTTGTTTCCTTTTTTTGGGCGATCTCAAGCACACTCATTTGCCACACTTTGCTCCCTCCCCATTTGGTATTAMTAGAAACAGTCTCTGATCTCCTGTTTAAGATGGTCCTTGCCAGCCTAATGGCACGTCTGGGCTGAAAATTTGCAGTCCTCAGCATTGTTTTATTTCCTTGCAGTTTCTGCTGACTAATTATATGGATGGAAGGGGTGTGGACAGTGGTTCTTTCTCTTTCTAAGGGCATGGTGCCTACCAGAGGTGGAACACCTGCCCAGGGTTGCCTGAGCTGCCCAGATTTGTCTGACTGGGTGTTGAACYTTTGCCTTCATTGAAAAGAGCCTGTAGCTGCTGGAATTGTCATGGCACTGCCTGTGCCACCTCCTGATGTACTGATAAATACTGCTATGTTTCTCTTCCAGCAAAACTACTTGAAAGCCATTCGCCTCTTTCCTGGGCCCCTGAAAAGGATGGATTTAGGTACGTAGATCAGGRATGTGTAGCAAAGGAACTTGTAACTTTTTGTTTCATCTGAAGCCAATGTTGCATTGACCTGTAACACCTTCAGAATAAGTGCCTGGGGTTTAGATCCAGTCAGAGGAAGTTTTAAACAATTGTTTTGCTCTGATACATTGTTAAACCTCTCACAACAGTGTTTCCAGCTCTGTTTCTGATCAGGGCCTGCCAGGCTGGCTGATACAGACAGTGTTTGGTTTTAAAACTCTGTGAAGGCAGTTTTCTTCCAGAGTCTGCCAGTGAACTTGCTCACTGTGGTATTGATGAGCTTTTAAAACTTGAATTATTCATTGGGGTTTGCAGTTGGGCAGAGAAAGGAAAGGGGAACATTCAGCAGGTTATGTTTAAGAAAGACAAAGACATTTTTCTGATTTATATTCTTGAAGAGTGTGAATCTCTGTTTATGCACTTGTTAATGGTGGTTTTTTTATCTCTTCCCAGCTGTGCAATTGCACACAGAGCCTGAATACAAGGATGAGACAATGACTGTCTACCAAATACCTCTGACAGGTGAGCACGTGGTGCTGCAGAGAGACAGGGGAAGCACGTGCTCAGTAAGCACAATGAAGGTTCAAGGAGCAGCTTCTGTTTGCCAGCCTGAGTAAGCAGAAGTTTATTAATTTGCATTTCTCAGGAGAAGGATCTCRTTCAAATAACAAGACCTGCTGAGTCAGGGCCTTGGCTGATTTCTTTAARTGTGGGTGGATGGAATGACATGTCAGACATCCATGAATTTGGCTTTCTCAGCCAGCTGAGTTCTTCATGCTGGAAAATATCATACTGAGGGTGCAGGGCAGACTTGACAGAGTTTAACAGTTTGGGGAGAAGGACTTGGATGAAGGGTGGCTCCTGAAATAAGTGACTGGAGTATGTAAGTGCAGGCTAGGCTGYGGGGAGGAGCTCTGTATTCTGGTGCAGTTTTAACCTGACTGTCATGGAAGGGGGAATGCTTCTGSTTTTCTTATCTTGTTTCTTTTGATTGAGTGATCTTTGCTTTTATTGGATTTSGGACAGCAAAATCACTGGCTGCTGAAAGTGCATCCCCCCAGAGTCCTGGAGCATCACCCCGAGGTGGAAATAGCCCTRAAGGGGTCACAGGGCCTGGATCCCCAAGAGCTGCACAGCAAAGCTTGGAGGAAGAAAAGGGAGAAGAAAGCCCAAAGAAAACAGGTGAAACACATGGAATGGCCTTTTCAACTTTAAAGAGATGTAGCCAAATTTAGGATATGAATTTGTCCTCTGAGCCATTTACTCTGGAAGTTAGGTCTGTAGAGAAGCTCAGCTGGATGATTCCATGGAGCAGAAAGTGTTCTGGTACGCTGGAACTTGATACAGAACTTATAAGTCCTAGAAATTGGACGTGATTGCTGCTCGGTTTGATTAGTCCTTGTAGTAGTTTGCTTCTGGCTGGGGTGGAAGCTCCAGCCTTTTTGCTTTAATTACAGGTGGATGCTGGGYTGATTATTTTTCCATCTTGGGCTTCAGTTTGGTTTCTTGTATCTGAAGCCATGGGCTCTCTGGCCTTGGGTATTTGTAACATATTGCTGTGGGGCTCCAAGTTAACTGAATAATGTTTCTGTTAATGCTTTAGCAAATTTKGGCAKGTTTTATTTTTTTTTWAAATGACAGTGAGTGATGATTTTTAGTAGTTTTGCTTTCTTTTGAAAGGTGATGAGCAGAAGTGTGTGAGTAGACATCCTGATCTGGTGACGGCTTTTCTTTGTAAAGTAAGTTTGGGCACAGSGTCTCTAAACCAACACAGACCAGATTAGAGAATAGAACAGAGTGCTTCRGTGATCATCTGCAACCACAGCATGGCTTGAGTTGGAAGATACCTCAAAGATCATTCCATTCAACCCTCTGCCATGGGCAGGAACACCTTCCAGTAAACCAGATTGTTCCGAGCCCTTTGAACACTTCCAGGACTGGACTATCCAGTCCAACTGCCTGGCCACTGCAGGCTGCCCAAAATTTAAAACATATTATTAAGAATATTGTCCAAACATCTCTTAAGCAAACTTGGGCATTGACCACCCTCTGTAAGAAAATGGCAAACTTGGGACATTGACCACCCTCTGTAAGAAAATGCTTCCTAATGTCATCTTGCTACAGAGATTTAACTGGAAACAGCGTTTTAAAGTAGGGCTTTGAAGCTGTAATGTGTTTCTGCTTTTCAAATGTCAGTGTTGCTGCAGCATGAGTAGGAATGTGTAAAACTGGAGGCGTTTTTGAGCACAGAGCAGTGGTTATGAGTGTGAAGGTTCCATTCTTGCTTAATCCTCAGAAGAGGGCAGGGTTTTGTGCTTGCTTGGCTAAAGAGGGGAGCAAGAAGCAGCAGCTTCTAGAAACCAGAAAAGCTTTTTGGAGTAAATTGTAGTAGTGTCTGTGGAACTGAGAAGGGAAAAAAATATTCCCTTTGCTTGGGGAGAAACCCTTAATCTGGCAATACGTGGATCTTGTTTCCTGTCCCTCTTTATTTGAGTRATAATTCTGTTTTACTCTTTCCAGATTCACCCGAGGAAGGGGAAATTCCTGGCAGCAAARGCACAGGAGATGGGCCTGCCAGTGTGAGTATGAGAGCCCAGCCTGGGGCACGGGGCAGCAGCAGGCACTGGGATGTTGGCAAGCTAAATATTTCTGTGGCCTTGTTTTCAGGGGAACTCCAGCCATCCTTCCCATMATTACAGCTCTCAAAAATGGAGAGAGSATCACTTTTGAAGGCAGAGAGGTAAGATGTGTCTGTGCTTCTGTGTGGCTTTGTCACTCTCCTTCACCCTGGACTCCCAGGGTGACAAGCTTTTGTGCAGAATGCTTTGCCTACCCGTGGGTACTGGGACTGTTCCAGCTCTAGGTTGTTGCTGAACATGGCTGACCATTCCTGGGGCTGTTGGGGTGGTGGTTACAGAAGTACTCTCTAAACTGAATTCCAGTGGGGGTATGGCTGGGTGTTTGCTGTTTGGCAGTTCTGCTTCATCTCCCCTTCCCAAAGCTGATGCAGGTSTAGCAGTGAGTTAGTGGAATTAATCCCCGCATATTTTTTTAATCTGAGGATTGAATGCCTGTGTAGCCATCTCTCCTTACCCTGTGTGCACCTCTGACACCAGAAGAAGTTCAATAGTTCCAGGGTCTGAATCTCTCAGACACTGGAGTAAGAGGCAGAGCCAGCTCTGGCCAYGGCCTGGGTGATCTGCAAATGAAGATCCTGACCTGGGAAACAGGATCAGCACATCTCAGTGTCACAAGAATTTCATAAAGCCTTTTTTTTCTTACACATGCTTTGCCACCATCTGAATCTGTCATGGGAAGCTAGAAATTGCTAGAATTCCCCCTCCTTAGGTCAGGCTGTGGTTTACTCTGAGGCCAGGGGTGGGATTGGTTATTACTGAGCAAAATGCAAGTATGTGTAATGAAATCAGAAGGGGCGCAAGAACTGCCTTGGCTTGGTTTATTAAGCACAGAGAGGGGCTGCCAGGGTCTGTCTGACTGAAGGAGCTGGACTCACAGGTGCAGGAAGGGCTGTGTGTTCAGGTTGGCTGTGCTGTGACCATGGTGTATCTGTGTGCAGCTGTTCCCCGAGGAGCTGTGCACCCCCACTGACCCTGGTCCAGTGTTCCTCGTGCTGGAGTGTCCTCACGAGGGCTTYGTGGATGCTGTCTGTGAGAACGAGACCTTCCAAAGGTAGGGCTGGGGCTCCTGGAGGGCTTGGGGGAGGATGCCTGTGCTGAGCTTTGCCCAAGAGAAGCTCTTGTTCTTGTCCAGATGTGCTGTTCCTCATGGCTGATGTYTGAGCTCTTTGGCACCATTAAGGAGCTCAAGATGCAGGAAAGGATTGGTGGTGCATTTTGAGGCTTTTAGGAAAGGCAGGACCTGTGAGGTTCTGTGACTGCCACAGAYCTGTTTTCTGTCAGGGGCCTCTAGAGCAGGAATGTGCACTGGTGTCTGCCTGGGGAACAGTGGAGGCTGGAAGCCTGGACTGCACATAACAACTCTGTAGGGTTTGTGCAGAAGCATTTGGGCTCTTGGGGACTCTGCAGATGTTGTTGCTGGTGGAGGAGAGGAACTGGCCTGTGGGTGATAGTGGAGGTCTCAGCAGATGGTGGGCCTGAGCCTCGTGCCTTTGGTGASGCAGAGCCTGAAGATCCCTGCTCTGCCTGCCCCAGGGGGCATTTCTGGTAGCACCAAAGTGGGAGAGGCGAGGTGATGCCTAGGACATGGACTGATCACAGATATTCTTTCTGTTTGAATGTGTCCCAGGTACCAGGAGGGCCTCCCTGAGAACCAGGTGGCCTTGGTTATTCACATGACACCAGAGTCAGTGCTTCGAGACAGCCGCTACCAGCAGTGGATGGAGAGGTACGTGGTCCTGTGGTCCCTGGGTTCCTCTGCTGGCAGCAGCCTGTTCTTGTGGTGCAARAAGTAAAAGAGCTGTAAAAAGAGGGCTCTGCTGGCTCAGGTGAGATTTTTAACTTGGGTGTATACATGTGTCTGACTCCAACGTGGGGCTGAAGCTGTTGTGCATTATTGTCCTCTGACAGATTTGGGCCTGGGACTCAGCACTTGGTGCTCAATGAAAACTCCTCTGCTGTGCACAACCCACGCAGCTACAAGATCCAAACTCAGCTCAACCTCATCCACCCAGACATCTTCCCTCTGCTCACCAGCTAYCAGAGCAAGGTAGGCCAGGCTCTGCCTCCCCCTGTGCCTCGTRCCCTGAGCAAAGGCTGTGTCTCACCTCACTCTCCTCTTGCAGGAAGCAGAGGCTGTGTGCCCAGTGCCCATTGTACGAGGGGAGTGCCTCCTGAAATACCACCTCAGGCCGCAGCAGGAGTGGCAGAGGTCAGTGAGAATCTTTTACTTCTCAGGTTTTGGGTGTTGGCTTGAAGCAGCTTTTCAGTGAGGGAGGCCCCTGCCAATCCTTTCTGGTGGCTGTGCTGGGGGAACTGTGTCGAGGGCTGGGTCCCTGTTCCTGAATGTCTCAGACAAGTTGTAGTATGTGGATGACTGAGCCACTGAAAACAACACTCAGTCAGTGCTTTGGAGTGTTATTTCTATTCCTTGGTCCTGTAGCCTTGTGGTCCTTTGTCCTTTGCTTTGACTCATACTGTGCACCCAGCTGTGGCTATGGCAGAGCAGATGAAGGCAGGGAGACAGTTTCTGGGGAGCCCAGTGAAACTCTTACCCTCTGAAGACCTAGAAAGCCTGATATCAGAGATGAAAGCTCCAGGTGGTTMAACAGTTGCTGACTTTGTTCCTGCTGGTCTGTTGGGCAAACAGGTGAAGCAGCTCAGTGAGAACCTTAAGGACCATGTGCCACAGGAGGCAAGGGGATTTCAGCCACCATGGCTCAAATTTCTGGCTTTGTTGGGCACAACAGGAGGATGCTGGTGCTAAGAAAAGTGTCAGTTTTTCTGTTCTGGTGTTTGAGGGCCTGTARTACTGCACATGCTCTGATGCAGGCCCAGGACACAGGTCCCTTACACTTTTCATTGACACCTGGATCCCTTTAGATGACTGCTCCTCTTCCAGGACCCTCTGTGCTGCCTTGTAGTGCCCTCTAGTGCTTGGCAGCACTAGAGGATCGGGATGCAGTGCTGTTCCAGGAGCTTTTCCACTATGGTGGAATGATCCTTTCTGTGCCTAGCTCAGCCCAACCAGGCCTTTTGGCACGCACCACACTCGTGGTTGTTGTGTCTTCTCCCACCCCTCAAAATGGAGAGAGCATTTGCCCCCTTATTTTAAAGCTGTTTTGTCACAGAAATTTGGCACTTGGCTCTGAATAGGGCTATTTCGGCTCCTGCCTTGCTCCATCCTGAGAGGTGGCCTGTTCTTGCAGAGATGCTGTGACTGTCTGTGATCCTGACACATTTGTTAGTGAAGCCTTGGATCTCCCTGACTTCCAGACCCGTGTGAAGGAGTGCAAAGAGAGCCTGTCTGCTATACCAGGTATGGATCAGCAACTGGGCTTGAGTCAGTGTAATGGAAAAAAGAAGCTCTTGGTGAACTACTCCTTCAGAGCTTATAAAGCTGGGAGGAGGTGGGGCTTGTTCTGCCTTCCCTTGTAGACCTGCTGCTGAGGGGGACAAAAATGACTGTTCTGGACATGGCAGCTCTGGAGTTACTGGGCGCGTGAACTAAATGGTGTCTGACTTGGCAGTGTGTGGAGAACATTTGCTAACAAATCCTTGTTTGTTTTCTCTAGGAAATGTGGATGCTTACCCTGAGATTGTGTTCTTGGGAACAGGATCTGCAATTCCAATGAAAATCCGCAATGTCAGTTCCACGCTGGTGAACACCAGGTAAATCCCAGTGCTCTCTGACCTTCTGCCTTCCAACCCAAAAGATCCCCCTCCCTGCATGGCCCTGCTGAAAGCTCTTACAGTGGCTGCTAAATATCTGTCATTCTGCCCAGTGCCACCCGGTCCCTGCTCCTGGACTGTGGAGAAGGAACCTTTGGACAGCTCTGCCGCCACTATGGAGAGCAGGTGGACCAAGTGCTGTGTAACCTGGTGGCTGTGTTTGTGTCCCACATGCACACGGATCATCACTCGGTGGGTTGAGCTGTGGGAAGGGGAAGGGGCTCTGCAGGTGTGAACCTTGGGACTCAGCTGTAGTTCCAGTTCATGAATGGGGGCTGCCCTGCTCTGCATTCATTCCCCAGGCACTGGTGAATCTGTCTTAATCCCCTCTTCCTTCTTGTTTGAGATCTTGTTTGTTCTGTCTCTGGGTTGCTGAGCAGTGGTAGCACTGTTGTTACCTGCCTCCCCAGATGCTTCTGACCACTCTTGCTCTCTCCTTTGTTCCCTTTGCAGGGGCTGGTGAATATCCTGATGGAGCGGCGCAGAGCTTTTGTAAGTAGAACTGATGTTTCTCTGCTACTGTACTTGGCTTGGGGTGAGGGGAGGAGAACTTTGGAGTAGTGGAGAAGCACCAGCCTTTCCCTTGCATTTCTTCTCTCTGACTTGCTGTACACCTTGTACTGATTTTTCCCCTATCTTCACTTTTGCAGGCGGCCCTTGGTCAGCCTTTCAGCCCTCTGTTTCTGGTAGCACCTGAGCAGATCATGCCTTGGCTTCACGAGTACCACAACCACTGTGAGGAGATTCTGGGAGACATCAAGTGAGTGTTCTGTGTGCAGAAATGTCCTTGGTCCTTATTCAAGGCAAACTCCTGTCATCCATTCCCCCACCCCTTTGTTGGAGGTGCCTCTGACTCCTCCCACTGCCTGTAGAATGAGGATGTGCAGTTTGCAGAGGGCAAGATAGGGTTTGTTACTCAGTTGTGCTGCTTAACAGAGGCTTATGTGCAGGCTCCTTTTCTCCCCAGGAAAATTGAGTTGGGCAAGTAGAAGAAAGAATGTTTGGTAATGGGGAAGCAGTGATTGGATTAGGGACACCAGTGAAAACCAGGGGTAAAATAGACAGGTCACCAAGGTGCACCAAAGCACCGAACTGAGAATGAGAAACAGGAGAAATTGTCTGCTTAAAGAGAATATCAGGTTTTATTTTGTACCTGTCCTTATTTGCCTCTTCTTCCCTCCCCCACAGAATGATTCCTTCTCAGTCTTTGGTGAAAGGCTGTGAGAACATCAGACCCAAAGCCAAGGAGTTTATGAGCTCTCTGTTAGAGAGCTATGACCTGGCTGAGGTGAGTTCCTGAGTGTGGGGGCTCTGTAGCTGAAGGGGACCTGGGGTCTAACACTTGTATCCTTGTTCAGTTTCAGACCTGTGAAGTCCAGCACTGTAAAAATGCTTTTGCATGTTCAATGATCCACAAGTCTGGCTGGAAAGTAGTTTATTCTGGTGATACAATGCCCTGCATGGCCTTAGTACGAATGGGTAGGTAACAAACCCTCTGCTTGAAGAATGTCTTGGACAAAGGTATCCCTCTGTCAGTATCCAAAGTGGGCACCCCAAAACCCTTGGTGCTGTGTCTGCCACACAGTGAGGGGCTGAGRAGGGACAGGAGGGCTCCTGGAGACAGTGGGACTGGTCATTCTTCAGCTGAAGACTGAATATGGGATTGTTTACACAGGTAAAAATGCCAACCTGCTGATCCATGAAGCCACGCTGGAAGATGGCATGGAAAAAGAAGCTATAGAGAAGACCCACAGGTGGGGTGTGTTCTGCTGTCTGTCTCTGTTCRGAAGGGAAAGGTGCTGTGCTGGGTGTAGCACTTGAAGCTGGTGGTGAAGGGTCCAAGTCCTGTCAAAGGTTCTGGTGTGTGTACAGCTCCTGTACCCTGAAGATGGTATATTGTTCATTGCAGCAGCTCTCAACAACCACAGCTCCTCTCAACATCCCCAGAGAAAATGGGGAAGCTCTCAAGCCGACCATGGTGACTCTACAAACAAACCAGGCCAAGGGAAAGGCTGTTTGCATGGTTACATCTTGGAACTAAGCTCAGAGGGTACAAGATTCATCATACCTGCACAGCTCACTGAAATTCCAATGAGAACTGCAGCCAGGGATTCYGTGTGCTGCCCCCAGCAAATGTTGGCGACCGAGAGCAGCTGCTCGGAATTGCCTGAGTCACAGTGCAAGAGCTGGGCGTGCTGGCACTCCCGGGACAGGTGCCTGTCCCCAGCTTGTAGAGCTCTTAAATGCAAGACTCCAAAATTACAGCTGCTTTCCTGCACTCAGGGCTGTGTGCAAGTCAGAGACTTTCCACCAGTGCAGGCTGCCCGGGAGAGAGGGGCCCTTGTGCTCAGCAGGTGTGAGGTCACTGGGTGTGGTGTGACCCTGGGCACAGAGCAGCAGTACCTGCCAGCCTGGCTGTGACCAGGGTGTGTTTCTTTTGCAGCACAACCTCCCAGGCCATTCAGACTGGGATGAAGATGAATGCAGAGTTCATCATGCTCAATCACTTCAGTCAGAGGTACGCCAAGATCCCGCTGTTCAGCGAGGACTTCAGCGAGAAGGTTGGGATTGCCTTCGACCATATGAGGGTAAGGGGAGCTTGGGGTCCGTCCTGGGAACAGTGTCAGGGTTATTTTGGGATGGCTGCTCATAAATTAGATTCTCTTCTTGCACTGTATCAATACTCGATCTCTGAAGCAGCTCCTTTAACTGCTGGCAGCAGATATCAGCAGCATGGGGAAAAGATGGCTAAGGGTGAGATAGGTGCTGATGGCTCTTGAATCCAACTCTTAACACACTGAGTACTTGCCTCATGTCACCTCAAGCCTGTGCTTGCCAAAAAACCTAATTTTGATTTTTGTTCCCATTCCCATCCCAACTGATGAGCTGCTCCAATGGCAGACAAAAGTTGTGGCTGTTGAGCTGAAGGCACCTGTGGCAGTGAGAGTAGYTCACTGTCAGTCCAAATTTGTGCTGGTTCTCAGCATTGCTGTGGAAAAAATGTCCAGAACTTATCAAGGTCAGGGCAGCTCAGTGCAGGGGCTGCATGCAGGAAAGGGCAGTGCCCTGCTGTCTGCACAGGCCAAAGGCGGGGGCCA